TTCCTAAAGATATTTTCCCCGTAAGTGAATGTAACGAATCCGATTGGAATTCGAAAGCGGCCCTCCGTTTTCTCAATTCGAGTCGTTACGCGAAAAAACAACTTCAACATGGAGAGAAAAAAAACGCAGTTTTTATCCAGCAGTTGCATTCAGTCGTAAACTGAAAATTGTATAAATACTCTGACCTAAAGATACGCAGGCACAAAAGCAAGAAACGTCTATGTACTGGGACGCATTTCTTCTCTTTACCTTAATGAACGTTATCTGAAATTTGAATCACTGTAGAACGTTCATTGGTTTGTACACGACAGGAACGCAGTTTTTATCCAGCAGTTGCATTCAGTCGTAAACTGAAAATTGTATAAATACTCTGACCTAAAGATACGCAGGCACAAAAGCAAGAAACGTCTATGTACTGGGACGCATTTCTTCTCTTTACCTTAATGAACGTTATCTGAAATTTGAATCACAGTAGAACGTTCATTGGTTTGTACACGACAGGAAGACATCCATTCTCTTCACTGTTGTTAACTGCCTTGTCGTTGGTTGGTGATTTTTACAACCTATGACATCTACGAACCATAACTGAACGTGGGCAACCTTCAATCTGTGCCATATTGGAAATCTTTTGACTTGGTTTACCGTTCATAACTATTTGGCATATGTTAGAATCGATATTATGCATTAGAATAATGCAAACATTTTCTATTTGGGTTTAGCTCCATTTTTATCGAGTTGCTAAGATTTTTCTTCCAAATAAAATATAAAACTTTCTAGAAAAATACAGAAAAGAATCTGCAATTTTATTTGTCCTGACATGGCATCTCGGCTTCAGTCACTTTCTAAGCACCGTAACGTAGCTTCCCTATTGTTTTTCTATAAATATTTTTATAATAATTGTTCTGATGACCTTTCCTCTATGATACCTAGACCTAATGAATTTAAGCGCTGTACCAGTTAGACGGCAAGGTCTCATGATTTTACAATTGAAACTGTTAGATGTAACTCTAAGTTCTATGCTAACAATTTGTTCTCTCAGATTTCGCGGTTATGGAACTCTCTTTCGACTTCTTGATTTCAAGCAAATTTTGATCTTCAAAAAAATTTAAATACAATTCTAATCGTTATCTTCTGTCTTCTTAATTCCTGTTCTTTTATTGTTTTCTCTCCTTAATAATGCCTCTTTTTCTCATATTCTTTGACACTCACTAACTCACTTCCGTTTTAGAGGCTTTGTTGCCTTGCTTGGAGTGAAATGATTAAAAAAAATAAATAAATCATAAAATCCATCGCTTGATATACTGATCTCCAGCAAGAAACGATTGCTAATTTGTAAAATATATAAGATTCATTTGATATAAAATGTTAAAATTATACATATGGTGCCATGTGTAAATTGTCGCCATTTTATTTTATTTCTTAATTTTGCGCATGGGCGTTGTTTGGTTTTGATTTTGTCGATTGCACAGTTAGTAGGGTCAGTTGGGCACCGCCTGTAAAAAAAAAAAGAGCAGCGTGACGCAATTCGCTCCGCCAAAAATTTGGAAACGGCTAGCTGTACTGCTTGGCATTCGCACCGGAGGCTCCAATGTGAACATTTCAATATGGTTGAGGGTCAATTTGAGGACGCTGCAAAGAATTTCGGAAAATGTTGGATGAGTCTAATGCTGATTATGAAGGTAATTGGAGTGATCACTAATGATGGCAACGTTATGCCTCCATTCATCTTCCAACGGGGTCTCAGACTCAACGCGGAAGCCTACATCAAGTACCTTGATGGGGTAATGTTGCCCTGGGTGAAGAGGGTGGCGACTGGAAGATCATATATCTGACAACAGGACTCTGTGCCATGTCACACAAGCAGGAGAACCTACTCATGGCTGTCAGACAATTTCTCCGACACCTTACATCTGGCAATCTAACTCTCAGATTGCGACCCCCTTGATTATGTTGTGTGGGTCGCAGTTGAAATACCAAAGGCAAGAATTATAGCAGCATTCACCAGCTTAAACAAGGAGACCATCAAGAGGAGTTGCAAGAGATTCCGAAGTCATCTGGAGGCTGTGGTTGAAGCCAATGGCTATTTTACTGAATAAATTTACTCTTTAGTATTTCAAGATATTTTTGTGTAATTTTGGTAAATTTATCTGTTAAAATGTGATGTCAGTGTTATTTTCATTTTTGCAAAATTTAGACGACAATTTATCCATCGCGCCCTGCATGTCATTATGTTGATCTCCAGGTAGATCTCTCCACCCATCACCGCTGCTGTTGCACTGAGGGTAAGGATCAGCGTCAATTATGGTGATGGCCCAGTGAGAAAAACAAATTTTCGCCCCAACCCCGTGTAGGTTTTGGTCATTTTAAACTTGGCCATGTGCTATATTCCTTTCGTGGTGGTATGTGGATAATGCCAAAGCCCATTTATTTAATGCAAACGTTTTATGTAATATCTGCAATCACATATAGGGAAAGTATCAAATACATATGTATCGGGTTGCCAGATAAATTCTTTAGTTTCTTTTCTATTTATTTTTATTCTATTATTCAGCAACAATTTTAATAAATGAGAGAATAGCATCAAACGATAAACAAAAATTCAAAAGGAAGAATTTATCTACAATAAAAACATAAAACACTATGATAAAAATATGTTGCATATTAATTCAATCAACACAAAAAAAAAACGAACGAATTTTCTCTCTCTCTCTCTCAATATATATATATAGAGATGAAAAGATATATATATATATATATATATATATATATATATATATATATATATATATATATATATATATATATATATATATTTACATTTAACATCATCACTTGATAAGACAGGTTGGGGTGTTGAAACAATATGGCTATTTTTTAGTAATTTTATAACATATTAATGTTATAATTTTTTTTTTTTTTAAATAAATAATTATATATATATATATATATATATATATATATATATATATATATATATTTCCGATAACTTTTATCAACGAAATATGTCACTCAACCACTCTCTCTCTCTCTCTCTCTCTCTCTCTCTCTATATATATATATATATATATATATATATATATATATATATATATAGATTATATTTTTCCGATAACTTTTATCAACGAAATATATGACTCACTCACTCTCTCTCTCTCTCTTTCTCTCTCTCTCTCTATATATATATATATATATATATATATATATATATATATATATATCGAAACTCGGCTGAATTGGCGTCACTCGGGGGTAACAATCTGGCCGAAATGTAATTTATAAGCCACCGACGTTTGACTAGAAGAAATTACATCTCGTCAATGAACTTGGTGTTTGGTCTAAACTGTAACCCAGCACTCAGCCACTATCTCACTGACGTGGGGTCGCTTCCAGGTCTATCTGCAAATGTTTTCATGACAATTGCGCTGATGAGCTTCCCTCCTACGTGACTCGACGGCATGAATTTAAGCCTGCCATTAGATTAGCAATTAGGTCGCATCATTAAAATAGCTAGCAGCCATAAGTTCTTCTGTATTCTGTGTCATCTCTGATCTTCAAAAATCAATCATTAGTTGCCATCTTCTGTCTTCCTGAAATTTGTTCAGTTATAGTCCTTTCTCCTCACTAAAAATGTCTAATTTTCTTTAACTCTCAGTAACCCATTGCGTCTTTTCTATTCGATTAGTTTCTTTTCTCGCACTTCTAGTGTCATGTATCCCTGTCACCTACAATCTTCAAAAATTTAAATGTAACATCAGTCGCCATCTTCTATCTTCCAGAATCCTTTTCTTCTTATTGTCCTTTCTCCTAAATAACGTTTTCTCATTCTCTCTCACTCTTTGTAACTATTGTAAGAATTTAGATCAATTTTATAGTACTGATATTTTATTTAAAATGCCATTTATCGGTTGTAGTTTCTTTTTTTTTTTTTTTTTTTTTTAGTTAGGCTCATATTTTAGTTCTGGTGTGAATTCCTTGTAATAAATGCGAGATAGATTACAAATCACTGATGTTTCGAAATTCGTTTTAGATTAACATTCCTCTTCTGCGTAACAATGTTGTTCCCGCTGGACAAAAGGCGTAATTGATACCTGGTCAGAAGTATTGAGAATTGGGCAGCAATATTTTACTATGAGGCTAGATCATCATCGCTGTCATCATCTTCCGTCCCATGAATCAATGTAATGATAGGTCAATGCGCAACTGAAGGCCTGAACAGCACCCTCCCTATGTCTCGATTGTACGCCAATGTATGAAATTCTGTAAAGGATCTCTCTAATCCATTCAGTTACGTTTTTAGCCTATTTTTCTTTGCATCTCTTCTACAGTTGACTAATGAAAGATTCTTAGATCTTATGACATCAACATACACTTTCAGATTTCTTTTCTTGATTATCTGGTCCTCAAATTAAATCGGTTTCTTGTTTCATGGTGTCCTGCACTGCGCCATTTGTGCTAGGGTTTACGTATGACATGCCGAGGATTGTTCCGCTGTAACTCATTTTTGGCTAAAAAAGACTAATATCTAATTCACATATATTCACTTTATATATATGCATAATTTCTTTTGAGAAACTTCACTCAATACAACGCCCAAGAGCCACTCAATTTGAAATTTACTGAATGTGGTGAGCGAAATGAATATAGAAAGAATTAGAAAAGGAATGGATACAGAAGATAGATAACAATTGACTTTAAACATAAAGTTAAGATTGTAATGTTCAGGGAAACACCTACGTGGGAGTCTGTTCCATAAAGCAGCGCTTCTTGGGAAGAATTGATTGATTCGTTTTCGACAGCTGATCAATCTTTTGGAGAAAATACTTTTAGATTGTAACATATGTTTTAAAGGTTTTTAAATGATAATGATTTAGTTATACCAGTCTTACTAAATAACCTATACCTAGTGGAAGAAGAGGTGTATCTATACCTGTTCGAAGGGCCTTTGTGCGTAAGTGAATATAACAAACCCAACGGAAACTGGAAATGGAACTCGATATTCC